GGAGTTTATGGATTCCTCATCTGCCTCGATCTCATCGTCCTAAGATGGGGCTTCCATCTGCACCAAACACAGAGCTAGGGTTTCGACGAATCTCCCCAGATATGCAATCTCTTCTTGCAAACTAGATATGCAAAAGACCGTCATAGTAGCCTTTTGCAGTCTGTTGCATGGGCATTTTCTGCTGACTGCAGACTACAGTTTTCAGGAGAAGCATATGAAAATCAATCTTGCTGATCCGCGTTGGAATCCAATGAAATTTTTTCTGTTGGTTCTCGAGGCATATACCTAACTACCTAAAAAAATTCAGATGGAAATGAAACCATTAAGATGGTCTTTTGCCTGCCACCATTTAGCTGACTGCTGGTGACTGCAAACTGCAGTGTATAAGAGCAGTATACAGAAATTGATGTCATTGGACTCCTTATCGGTGTCGGTATCCAATGAAACTGTAGGTTCTCAAGGCATATATACCTAACTGCCCAAAAATTTCAGATCAAAAGGAACCATTAAGATGGTCTTTTGAATCCTGCTGTCTTAAATATTCCTGCTGATTGCAGACTGCTGCACAGCACTAGCAGGGTTCTGAAACACATATGGTTGGACCCGTTATCGGCGTCCGAAACAAGGGAAATTTTGACTGTAGGATCTGAAGACATGATCCTATCTACCCACAAAGTTTCAGCCTGATTGGACATCTCTAGGATTATTTTCTTTGAGCCGCCATCTATATGTTTATGTGTACTGCTGCAGACTGCAGTTTTACAATAGCAACATGCAAAGAGCACACCAGTTGGACACCGTATCGGATTCCAAACTGCATGAGATTTTAACTAGAGCTTCTTGAGAGATTTTGAACCATCACCCGAAATTTCATATGGAAAGGATCTCGTTTAGTCAACATCTTGAGCAGTCGATTTCAGACTGCGGTATTGTGCCATTGCATAAATCTGATCCACATAGTGATGCTTTAAGGATCGATCACCCTGAGACCTACTCAGAACTTTGGGTTCATCCCTTCTTATCTTTTTGTTGCTTTCTTAGACAAAGAGGAGGAGTTTGTTAATTCTTCTCCTTATCCAAAGAGTCCAGCCTCCTTTATGCATGCATGAGGAGGCACGTCACCTTTTCCTTTTCTTATCTTTCTCCTTTTTGTGTGTGTGTGTGTGTGTGAGAGAGAGAGAGAGAGAGAGAGAGAGAGAGAGAGGTTAGGTTTTGTTTGTTG